GACCAAATGAAGATGTTTCATTTTTTATGGCGGAGTTGGATATATGCTTGGTGACAGTGGCGGTTCTACATTGAATTACTCCCGGGGCGAGATCTTGTGTTGAGTAAAGACCGAATTATTGTTGTACAAGTATAGCAAGCATCATAGCAAGAAGGTTAACATCCGTAAGAGTTAACGTTATACCAATAAATTAACATTAGCCCTTCACTGATGACATGGATACTGTAATCATACAAAACGTAGTTGCATACCTTTATCCATTGCTCGTTTCTCCTCTTCTTCTTTTCTTTTTTTTTTTTTTTTTACAATCGACAATCAACAGATTTCCCATCCCACAACACTGTCACTCACGACCAGAAGTCAAGACTAAACCAATTCACCTTGTATTACCTATTTTTATTAGCCATTTCATACAATTTGGAAAAAACAAAAACATGCAAATTATAGGTCTGTGTTTATAATATTATGAATGAAATGTGCGTTATTTGGAAGAAAGTTCAGGTGTCACTGACTTAGTTTAGCCTACTAACATATGTACTGCGGTTGTCCAGGTGTTTCAGGGTATGGAATAAAGCCAGAGACGTCGCATTGTCCACTGATCTGTTGAGTCAGTAGGCAAACTGGAGGGGGTCTACAGTGTCTGGGACCATGTGGTTAACGTGTGTGAGGACCAGTTTCTCTAAGCACTTCATGGTGACTGATGTGAGTGCCACTGGCATGAATTCATTTAGAGTGGATGGGTCTGATGTCTTAGGGACCGGTATGATAATGGATTTTTTTGAAAATGCAAAGAACTACTGCTTGGGTTAAGGACAGGTTGAAGATGTCTGTATACACACTAGCTAGTTGATCCCCACAGGCTCTCAACACTCTAGGGGGGACAATGTCTGGTCCCGCCACCTTATGGGGGTTTCCCTGTCTCAGGGCCTTAAGGACCTGTGTGTGTGTCACCTGAAAAGCAGTGTCCTCCGGGTCGCAGGAGGATTTTGAGGGGGTGTTTGTGTTCACCCTGTCAAACCTAGCATAGAAGTTGTTGTCTGTCCGGGAGGGTGGCGTCCGGGGGGGCTGTGTTTGTCGATTTGTTCCTGTAGTTTGTGACTGCCTGTATTCCCTGCCACATACTGCGCATGTTATTATTCATATAGTAGCTCTCCAGTTTTTGGAAGTATGCTCTCTTTGCAGCTCCTGATGGACTTCTGTAGCTCATACCAGGCTTTCCTGTACTCAACTTGGTCCCCTGACTTAAAAGCCTCTCGTCTGTTCCTGATTTTCTGTTTTATATCCCTATTAAACAATGGTTTTTGGTTGGGGAAAACACAGATATTTTAATATCAAGTGTGATTTTATGTTTTGTTTTTGTTTTTAAATCCAATCATGATTTTACACAGTCTAGATCAAAGAGTGAATTTTCAAGCTCAGCGTGATTCAAATTCCCTCTTTGCAGAGTTTCTGATTCATACTCAAAAGCTGTGGGCTGCTGGGAGCAGATGGTGTCCACATTTTTTGACCACAAACAGCCTGCTGTTGACTGTTCTGTCAGACTCTAGTTATTTGTTTCAGTCATTCTTTTTTTTATTAAAATTGATTTACAGCTCCAATATTAGCAGTTTCCATCTTCACCAGTGGTGTTTGCCTTGGTGTTTTTTGTCATATCATTGCAAAACCAAATAGGCCTGTTTAGTTGGATAAAACAGTCCTGAGAAGATCTCAGTAGTGGGATTATTGGTGTGTAGAGGCTTCATCAAATTACGAAAATAGATTTTGGGAAAGAAATTCTAGGTTTATTCTAAACAAAATCAGCCAATATATGCCTACATAAATATTACCTTAGTAGTTTGACTGATGATTGTTTCTCATGATGTTTCAGCTGTATGCACTAGAGGGGCATAAGCACATAATCATTGAGAGACTGATGGTGTGCAGTGGATTCAGCTGAAACATGCACATCTGGCAGCACCAGCAAAAAACAACCTGTGCATTGGCACAGGTTATGGATAAAATAGATACTTAAGTGACAACACTGACTGTGCAGTTAATTCACCCAGTCAAACAGTTGTAATTTTTTTCATTCTGCTTAATGTAGACTAAGTTATAGTATTTATAGCTTGACAAAAGAGTGTGTGTCAGATGCTTCTGCTCTGTTTAGATGTTTGAGCCTAAGCTTGTCATCTATTATAGGGCAGCAACTAATTATGTTCATTAATTAATACGCCAGTTATTTTCTTAATTAATAGATTAACTGTAATCCAAAAAATGCCTTTTCTGTGATGATCAACAGTCCAAAACTGAAAGACGTTTGCCATTGTTTATTTTATCAAGAAAGTCTAAGAAAACCAGCAAATATTAACATATGAGAAGCTAAAACTAGAGATATTTTTGCATGTTTGCTTATTAAATGAATTAATTACTCAGCAAAGCAGTTTAATTAATTTTCTGTCAATCAGTACCCCTAACTCCTAATATACAATCTTTCATTAGGTAAAGTACAGGGATGATGCCAACAGAAGCTGCCTTTTTGAAAATAACTTTATTCAGTTTCAGAAATATAGCTTAATGGAACAGGCAAACTGACATCAATGGGATACAAAATGACCACAAAGAAATGCTAAATAAACACCTCAAAAGACACAAAAGATCTCTTAATCTCATGTCTTCTCTCTTTATCTTTCTCCCACATGCAGACAAGTTGTCCTCAAGTCACCATATTAAATAATATCTGTTTTGCATTAACTGGGAGCCTGAGGTGGTACAGTTGCACCAGAACAGCTGGTAGGGTGAGTCATGTTCCCATCTCATGTTCCCATCATGTTACAGCTAAATAAATATAACTTATTTAAATTAATGTAACAAACAGTAGAATTCCAGCCCTTGACCAAGTCTACTAAACAAAAGAGTGAGTGAATTTTTGATCTTTTCTTCACTCCAATTCAGGCTCCTGCTGCTGGAGTAAAAGGGTGGCTCTGCTCTTTATTTACCTGTTGCCATGATGAATCTTAGTATCAAAGCTGCTTTGATGATGGCTTTTTAAAGGCGTCATGCACAAACTTAAGTCCGAGTTAACTGAACTCAGGCAGTGGAAAGATGCCTGTAATGATGTCTAAAAACAGTGGAGAGCACTGGGAACACTAGAAAGGATTTCAAATCAGTCTAAGCACAACAATACTTGAATGTTTTTATTTCTTCAATAAGTAAGGCTGCACAAGAATTAGTTTTAATAATATAAGTATGCCTTTCTTTATATGGGTACATGAAGCCACATAAGGGAAAGCAGAATTAGATTTAGAAAACTGTTTAGGGAAGTTCTGAATTTAGGAAGACTAATTGTTACTGTTTTGGTGTGTACTGTTCAAGGCAGGAACAGACATGGCTGTAACATAATTGGTCTAGTTTATGTTTTTTTTTACTTTATATTTACTGTAAATGTGTATTACTTATCAGAAAATTAAAGCAAACATAAGAGCATCTATAATGTAATCTAATGTGCATGTAAGATTATGGGCACTGACATTAATTTTCATTAATTTATGCTGATCAAAAGCGTCCATTAAAAATATTTAATACATCATTCAGAAAAAATAATTTATTGTACCCAAGGAGCTTCAAACATCTGTGGGCTACTTTGGAAATCCAACTTTTCACTTGGATACTTTTATTAGAAAAAACAAACAAGCCAACAACAGGTCAACTTTCCTCTGGTCTCCTGAACTGATTGTTTTGAAAAAGTCCTGTGAAATGCTTTTTTTTTACAGAGCCGATTCCCTTCACTATTAATCTACCAAGATCTAATCAAGCCAAAATCAAGGCCAGAACTTTGGGGGTCCATTTGAAGTCCCTGTTACAATGGATTGCAGGGAAGACAAGGACAAAACATCCTGAGAAACCTTCACACCTCCAACAGGCACATCATTTTGAATCGAGTACCACTGTAGCATCTTCTCCAGTGGGTGTCAGCATACATCAGCAGTAACACCTGTCCTTTGTGAGATGAAACCTAACCAAAACTTGACTGATTACATAATAATATATTACTATAACAGGAGGGAGCAAAAACAACATTTTCATAAGCATAAACTTTATTGCCAAGTATGTCAAAAACACAAGGAATTTGATTCCAGCTCAATGGCCCCAAATGTGCACAACATAAAAACAAAATAAATACAAGTTTAAAAAAAAGTCACAAGTTAAAAGAGCAATATAGACTAGCTATTCATCATTGTAATAGC